CCCCAGCCCCCATCTCCGACTGTGCCTGCTCGCACCAGCCGGCAGGAGGCCGGGTTCTGAGGACCCCTTGAGCCCCCATCCGAGCCCTGAAAATTCCGAGAAATGTGAAACTTGGGGGCGGTCAGGGAGGGAGGGCAGAAGCTGGGAGCCTCCCATCCCTTTGGAAATCTAAGACGCTCCCCAGTCCTCAGAGACCCCGCTGGTACCCAGACCCCCACCTCTGGGGGGACTTCATGTTCCGTGTATGTTTGCATCTCTATTTATACCTCTGTCCTGCTAGGTTGCCCACCTTTCCTTGGCTCTGGTAGTCGAAGTGTCTTTGTCCTGGTCACCCCTACTCCAGCTCACTGCCCTTCCCCATCCCCAGCTGTGTCTCCCAACCTCCCACTACCTTTGTGTTGTTTTGCATGGCTTTGCAGTTATGGAGAAAGTGGAAACCCAGCAGTCCCTAAAGTTAGTCCCCAAAGGGCAGAACAGAAAGAAGGACAGGCAGGCAGCAGGAGGCCAACCGGGAAGGCAGTGGCTCTCCAACCTGCAGGGTAGTCACACTGGGAGGTGAGCAGTAACTGGCCTCTAGCCACATTCTCATGTGGGCTGGGGGACTTCAGCCTTCCAGACACTGCCCTCAGAATCTGGAACAGAAACTTCAGACTTGCCCTGCGTGTCCATTGCTGATAATTACCAACTCAAACTGGAGTGGTGTTTAGCCTCCGCAAAACTTGTCCTTGTACTCATTCATTCAAGTCTCACAACACCTCAATTAGGTCACCAGGGCAGGATTTGTTATTCCCATTTTACAGACGAGAACACTAAGTCCTAGATAGGTGAATGGACTTGCCCAAGGAATACAGGCAGCAAAAGGCAAAAGGAGATAAGAACACAGCCTGCTTGCTCCGAGGCGAAGTGCTCTTTCCTTCCAGCTAGGCCTGCTCTTGAAAGTCATGCTCCTGGCATTGCGTGGATAACTGGGGCGTAAACCAGAACCAGAATCACACGGGGCAGCCGGGGGCACTGCTGAGGCTGTGCCTCTGCTGTTCTTGGCCAGGAGGCAGGGGCTCTGAATGGGTTCCTGAGGCAGCCTAGGGTCCTTTGTCTCTGGACTGCTTGCTTGCAAACCAAGGGACCAAGGTAAGCAAGACTGGGTCTTGTGGAAGAAAGACCCGGAGCTAGGGCTCTAGCAGTTTGGGAATCGGACAGAGTGACCAAGAGAGCTGGCGGGCATATCCTATGAGACATCATCCCTGGCCCCAAAGCCAACTGTTGGTGCCTGCGTTCCAAATAGCTAGAGATAAGCTGAGGCTGCGGCAAGAAACACCCCTCCCAGATAGGGGATGGGGTTGAAACTGCCCTTTACCCAACGCACGCCCTGAGACCGAGAAGCCCAGATAGAATGCAGCAGATGGAGGTGATGTCTGAAGCTCACTGTTGGGGACCCACAGCTGCAGCTGGCCTAGTGACGAGGACAGCATCAAGGAATGGATAAGGGTCCTCTCTTCCCACGCTGCTCCCGTGACAGCTCCTTACCAATGCCAATCACGACCAGCCCTGGCATTCAGGGAAGCTGGAGGGAGGGGCCACAGGGCAGCCAGGCTCAGGCCCCACCCCAGCAATGTTCTCCAGTTTCTGCAGACCCCTGGGGGAAGGAAGTCTAGTCTGTGTGTGAGTCTCAGTGTGGAGGAGTTGGCTACCCACACACCATGAGTGCAGGACCCAGGACCTGGGGAGTCCTCTGTGTTTTTGTTGGGGATGGAAGGCAGTGCTGGCTGCCTCTGTCCTGTGTGTGACCCTGCCCTCGAGGGGTCCTGTCCTGTCAGTCACGAGGGAGTCACAACCAAAGCTGCAGAGAGATGGTGGGGAAAGAGGCAGAGCAGCCCTGGGGCAGAGCATGGCAGACTGCTCGGTCTCCGGCTGGGTCTCTCCTAAGACACTGGAAGGCCAATGTCGTTTCCCCCTCTCACCCTCTCCCACTGCAGGCAGCCTCTCTGCTTCCCCAATGCCTTATGCCTGGGCACACTGCCACAGAATATGCAATATGTGTGGGCGACATGCCCCTGCGCCCACACCCCCACCCCGGGCAGCTCCTGGACTCCAAAGGCCATGGCTGCCACAGCCTCCCCTCAGCTCCTCCTGCCTATCTGTCTTCACACTGAGAATGGCGCCTAATAAATGCTATCCACAGAGACCAGGCTCAGGCTCAGCTTCTTCTGTCATCGTGTGCCCTTGCCTTTGGTCAACTCCCACACCTGCCTCCTGCTGGAGTCTACACACATTCCTAGCTGATTCACCGCAAACTGACTAGATTCTGTTTCAGGGGCTTTCAGGAGAAGCCTGGTGGGCAACACTGGCTTCCCATCTGGGATTTCCCAGAAGATCCACATTTTCTTAAAGTCATCTTGGGACAGACTATATGAACAATAACTTAAATCTCCTGGTCCTATTGTCCCCCTTGTACATGAGTAAATTGAGACCCAGAGAGGGCAAGTCACCTTCCCTAAGTCACACATTTGTGAGTGGCAAACCTAGGATAAGAACCAGAACTGAGGATTCCAGTCCAGTGATCCCCTTACTCACACAGCTTGCAGAGTCTGACTGGATGACAGTAATACCTTCCTGCCAGCCAGAGTGAGGACCTTCTCTGATTGACTCCAAAATGTCTCTTTCAAAGAAGGCACATCACAAGCACCTTTCCTCACAGTATGTTTTTCTCTGGGTCTAGAGGGATGCCTCGGACTTGGGACTGGACCCTAGAACTCAGGACAGACCCAGAAAGCAGACCAGTCCCTGAAATCAGCTAGCTAGTAGCTTCCAAACTTCCTTGAGGACACATTGTACCACGTTGAATGACATAAGTGACACATTTATACCACAACTCCATATCTTTCTAGCTACATACCTATTTACCTGTCTTTCATGAGTTAATACTTAATAACCCTGTTATATCCAATGACTCTTATACGTTCTATCCTATTTCACACTGTAAAATACTGAATCAATGTCTCTACCCACAAGTGGTTTGTTACCAACAGATTGAAATACACTAGAGAAATAAAAGGGGTGGGGGTAGGGACACTTTCTCCCAGTTCTCCTGCCTACCCACGTAGGTCAATTGAAAGATACAGAGAGGGGCCAACTTATGTGGGTCTAGTGTTCAAAGAAAGAAGTGGGCTGGGCATGGTGGCTCACTTCTACAATCCCAGCACTTTGGGAGGCCAAGGCAGGAAGATGACTTGAAGCCAGCCTAGGCAACAGAGTGAGACCTCATCTCTGCAAAAAATAAAATAAACCAGACATTGTGGCACATGCCTACAGTCCCAGGTACTCGGGTGGTGCCTACAGTCCCAGCTACTTGGGATAATTGCCTGAGCCCAGGAAGTCAAGGCTGAGGTGAGCTGTGATCTTGCCACTGCACAACAGCCTGGGAAATAAAGTGAGATCCCAACTCAAAAAAATAAAGAAAAATAAAGAAAGAAAAGAAAAGAACTAAGAAAGAAGTGTCAGCACCTGCACCGCCCCCCCTCCAGAGGCACAACACAACCAGCTTTCCAGGGTTGGTGTTCCTGGCTGCTCCTTACAGCTGCAGGCAGTATCCTCGTTGATCTGAAGCCCTTGGGGTTGCAGCACTGGGGCTTAGCTGCCATTACTCATCCACTCCTAAGGCCCCCTCTTCAATATCTAGGGCTTGCTAGAACAGCGAAATGCAACAACAGCAGACACAAGTTGTTTTTTGAGGTTGGCAGTGGCCAGTCCAAGGTTACTCTCATTTTCTTTAGCAGGGCTTGCAGAACATAAACATGCTGACACTTGCCCTCCTTTCTTCATTGCCTGGGGCAAAATCGCCACAGACAGGCCTTGAAGGAATGAATCCCTGAGTGGCTGCATTTGTACTATTAGTCTCCCCAGGGGTCGTCAGAAGGGAAGAGCAGCCATGAGCTGCACCCAGTCCCTGCCCACAACTCCTAAGCACTCAGAATTGCCCATGGTTCTAGCGTGGGCTCTTCTTTATCCAGATGATGCATCCCCACCCCCTCACTTCCACACAGCATCTGAAGCATCCTGCACTAAAAGATATATGTTATGTACAGCAAAACAAAAATAGAAAACCAACACGGCAGCATGGAGGTGGGGTATAAATATCTCTAGATCCCCACTGATTTGGTTACTCAGGGTGAGCATTAGATAGAGATAGAATTTTCCGGGGGCTGAGATAGAAAGAAAGATGCAATGACAACCCTTTCCAACACATGTCCCGTGGTATACTTTGTGGGAAAAGGGTTCCTTGGTCAAATAAACCGGGGAAAATGCTGTACGTGTCAGCCACTCGTGGAACTTCACAAGACAGCTTAGTAAAGGTTAGGAAAAGTCCTGCAGCAAAGATGCTGTTTACCTTTGCTTAACCCAGTGTTGCTAAAAAATTCATCCAAAACACCAGAACCTCCATTTGTGCGACTTCTGCTCATGCCCTACATGTCAGAGAGCATGTTTTGGAAAATGCTGATGTGTTAAAATCTCACTGATGAAGAGAGAAGGCGGATCCTTTGCCTCACCCTGCACTACGTTTTATTGGTGGCACAGCTGGGATTTGAACCCACCCAATGACTGCAAATCATGTGCTTTTACCCACTTCACAGTATACACGGTCCATGTCTTCAGCAAAGGCTTGGCAGTAGTTGCAGAGCTATTTGCATTGTGGTCATTTTCCTATTCAGAACTTTGGTGAGAGAGAAGACTGGAACCCAAAGATGTCATCCTTCAGAAATGACAGGTTCTGATGGAGCTAAGAACATCTCTTCTACCCCAGGCCCTCCCATTCCCACATGTAGGGCCATTTGGCTCTTTCTGCAGGCTTAGCATCGCCCCCACAAGCCCAATCATCTCCCCACAACTCATCTCAGGAAGCCAGAGGCAGGGGAGGGCTGCTTAGGGTCGGGGAAGGATTTATTTAGGATAGTCATATTGCCAGAAGAAAGAACAACTGCCCACATTGACTATACCAAGCTCCCTCCCCCAGGTTTGCCTCACTGTCTTCCCTGAGTAGCACGAGGCTTCTGCTCCCTCATAATCTCAAAACTGGGATCAGGTAAGAAGGCTGAGTGACCATTTCCCAGGTAGCCCCTTGAAAAGGGGCCTCAGACCCTGTGGCCTCGGACCCCTCCTCGTGCCCAGCCAGGCAGGATCCTTAATGCTGGGACAATAGTCTCCAGCACAGACATCACCTTCTGTCAAAGATTGCAAAGAAACACACACGCCCCACATACACCCCACACACCCTTTGAATCACTGGTCCAGCTTCTCTGTCTCAGAAAAAGGGATTTAGTTCAAGGTCATGAAACAACATAATGGTGTAGCCAGAATTAGTATCCACATATTCTAACTTTCCAACACACACACAGAAGTGGCCCAGCCATCTCTAACTCTGATTTTGGATGAAAGCTGCTAATCTCTGGGGTTGAGTCATTCTGGTGCTGGAAATTTACCACATCCACATCTGGACAAACATGGAGACTCACACTCCTGTGCCTGAGTCCCCCAGCTTCAGGGAGGGCCTTGTGGGCGGTACCAGCCCCTTAGGATAGGGGCAGTGATGGAATTGACCTCCACAATCCTCTCTGGCCATTGAAGTCCCCACAGGAATCTGCACTAGTGGTATTTTGCATTTATAAAGCTCTCTCACACCGTTCTCTCATTTGATCTTCGGAACAAAACTGATTTAAGTGAGGATTAACACCTTCCTTTTACAGATGACAAAGATCCTCCTCTTGCCCTGCCAGGAAAGGTCCCTGGGAGCAGGGACTGTTCCACATTTCCCTCTGTGTCTGCAGCACTGGGCAGAGCCCCAGGCATTTCCTTGGTGACTGATGTGTTAGGCCAGGGTTATAACCAGGCCCAATTACTCTGGACTGGCAGTGTTCCACTGTTCCCCAGACTCACAACTCTCTGTGCTAGTACCCATGGGTTGGGGGAGCCCCTGGGTGGACATGGTCCACAGAACCCATCTCCTGCCAAAGGAGACGGGAGTTAGGAATATTTTACCCACATCACTAAGTGCCTTGGAGAAACTGCCCAGAGCCCTAGACGTGGGATCAAAGGCAGCAAAATGTACAGCCAACTAACCCTGCCCTTCCACTGGAGGGGACAAAGGTTTCTAGGGGAAAGGTCATGCCTTTGACCCAGGCCAACTCCTCAAATCAACACTTTTTCACAGTTCTTGTTACCTGGAAGAAGGGACATGTGACCAGGTCATCCCTGAGCACAAACTGGACAGTGGGAGTGCAGACAGCCTCCGGTGACCCCTATCACTTCTTCCCAATGCTCTTTGCCCTCGTTCAAACAGGCACCGAGAGTGGAGTGGCAAGCTCGTTTCAAAAGTCGACATCCAACCATGTAAGAAGATGCTATCTGCCTCCTTTGCAGTTTCTAACATGATCCCTGGAAGCCTCCTGCTCCAACTTGGCTAGGTTTCTTCCCCAGGCTGACAACCCATTAGAGTGATCCTCCCTCCTCTCAGTTATCCAGGATGGAGAGAACTCAGGGCATCTCTGTTCTTGGCTGCAAAGTCTGGTGGCAAATTCCAGGGCAAGAGAAAATGTCAGTGCCTGTTATATACCTTTCAACCAAGTCTCTTGCACTATGACTGAGCATTGCTCCTTGTAATGTCCGTACAAGGCTGTGCCTTAGCACCACTGGGCAGTTCCAGGTTTTGACAATGCTTCAGGTGTTGGAGCCTGGTTCCAAATTAAATCTCTTCCTGCTCTTTCTCTCAGCCCCGCATCACCTGATTTGGTAGTCTAGCCTTTTGTGTCATTACTTAAGTCTTTGATGAAAAATATCAAAGAGAGCAGGACCAGACAAGGGATCCCTTATTTCAGGGTGATATTTATTCCGGCATGTTCTTCATGAACTGTCACTGGCTCCGGTTCTTACCACTTCCTTTTATCTGTGCTCTAAAATAGTCTATTTAATCAAAGCCAGCAGGTGGCTGAGCTCATCATATCAGCACACACTCTCTAGTCCCTGACTGTCAGTGACCTGGGCTGAGGATTTGAACTTGCTAAAGATAGCAGGTGTTTCCTCACCAGCTCAGCCTTCATGTTTCCCCTCCAGCCACCACTGCCTTATCATTGCTTATTCATGTAGCTATGCTCTGTCCAACCCATGTCCTATCCCTGGCTCCTTAGCTGGGCACAGTACTTCTCAGCCCCTTCCCAGATCAGACTTGTCTCCTCTCTCAGGCAACTAGCCTGTCCTTGTCGGGAGGAAGCAGGCGGGGCTCACCCTGGAGCACTCAGGATGGTCTCCAAAGGTTGAAATCTGTCACAGGAAACTCAATGGCCGGGGCCTCAGGTCATTTGGGACTGAGGTTCCTACAAGAAACAATATGAATGAAGTATATGCCGGAATGGTCTAGGAGAGTCACTGAATCCTCCTAACACCCCTGCAGAGATAGGCACAATTATTTCCATCTAGTGGTGAGGAAACCAGGGCTCAGGGCAGTCACCTTGCTTTTCCCAGATCTCCCAACCAGTGGGCAACAGAACCAGGTTTCAAGCCCTAGGCCATGTGACTCTACCTTCCATGCCCATGTGGCCACTGCACCCTCTGTCTCCTGGTACCACATTGTTTTCCTACCTTCTCAGGCTTTTCTCCAGCCCCAACCCTGGGCATTTGCGGACCCAGGATACTGCTTTATCAGCCTTTGGAAGACAAAGTAAGCCTGAGCCCATGTCTTCCTGACCCTCCCTCCCCAGAGAGAGCAGCAGGTTGGTGGGTTGACGTCAGGCTGTGGGGAAGCGACGGCAGTGTTCCCGAGACCCAAGTGATTTGAGATTAATCTTCTAGATCTGGCGCCACAGACACGATAGGAATCTGCTGCCACCTGCCCCCTCCAGCCCCATCTTGGTGAACAGATGGGCAGACCCCTCTCTGGGGTCTAAGTAGGGCACTGCTAAGGTTGCTGGGAGGCAGGGAGGGAGGCCAGTCAGCTGTGGTGGTGGTGGGGGGGGCTGTGGGAGCGAGTAGGGGTAGGGACAGACTACCCTGGTCCGCCAAGGGTGAGTGGGATCAGGGGCCGGCTCTCTGCTACCAATGGTAGGGGGTGCTTGAGCAGAACCTCAACCAAGAAGTCAGGGGATTTATGCACAGAACCAGGCAGTCATTCAGACAATATTTCAGGTCCTTCAAACTCCAGACTTCATGGCCTAAGCCTACCAGAGCTGATGAGCCACAGAGATTTAATGCTTAGCTTCCAGAGTGAGGCTTGGGCAGTGCAGTGCCCAGAGCACCCATGTCCTAACCAGGTCCGGTGTCCACCCTCACTGGCACAGAAACACAGAGGGCTGGGGTGGGCTGCAAGGTACGACAATAATGCAAACACAAAGGTAACCTGCTGTCAGAGCCAGGGGACCCTTAAGAACTGCGAACTTAACACTTGTTTCAGAAAAGAACAGTGAAGCTTGGGCGGTTTGAGAGTGGTTGGGGACATGCATGTAGTAAGCGGATGACAGAGTCAAGACCTCCAGGCTTCTTGCATAGTGCTCTTCCACGTTCACACCAGCTGCAGGGCTTTGTCTATAACAAACCCAAACTAGAAACAACCCACCTGTCCACCAAAATGAAATGGATCAACCGAGTATATGCATGCCAAAGAATACTACTCAGCCCTACAAAGGAAGGAAGTTTTGACACACATACCACCACAACAACGCGGATGAGGCTTGAAATCAGCATCCCGAGGGAAAGAAGTTGGACAGAAAAGAGCATATCCTGTATGATTCCATGTATATAAAGCTCTAGAAAACATCAGCTAATCTAGAGAGACAGGAAGCAGATCAATGGTTGCCCTTGGTGGAGGGGGGCAGCGGTTGCTGGGCAGCAGGAAGTTAAAAAGGGGAACAAGGGAAGGTTTGGGGAGATGGAGACATTCACTCTCTTGAAGGTTTCGTGGAGTGGTTTCACAGGTGTATACATATGGAAAATTCTACATTTTAAATTTGGATTATATGTTCATTTTACCTCAGAAAAACAGTTTATAAACCAAGCTGCAGAGGCCTTACATACAGCCCACCAGGTGAGCTAAGCACCGCCACCCACACCTGTTTTTGTCCTGGTGGCCAGGGTGGGGTGGGGACACAAGTCCCCCACGCCTGTTTATCAGAGGATCACCTGGAGACCACCAGTGCCTCTGGCCAACTTCTGCCCACCCCAACCCAGGCTGGCTGTCATCATGGGTGTCACCAGCATCCCCTGACACCAGATACATATCATGGTATATGGACGTAACAACCATGAGGCTCCCATGGGGTGTTGCTGGCACAAGCCAGATATCAAGCAACAGTCAACAGGGCAGAAGGTCTCCTAAATGTTGTGCTTCTGCCTAGTGAAACAGGGTCTTCCAGACCCTACCAGGTTGGGGGTAAATGGAAAGTTCCCAGAATCTTTGTTTCCTTCTGTCTTAAAATCATCCTCCTGGCTTCTTCTAGGCTCCTCAAGGAGTTGCACACTATCCGAGCCACTAAAGAGTGGCCACCATTTACATCCTTGGCTCCTGGCCTGGCGCCTGCACCAGGGTGAGGACAAGGTGCCACAAGGCCAGTCATCATGCCACCCGCTGGTTGGGGCTGGAACTGCTCGAGGTGGGGGTGGGGGTGGGGGAAA